GATTGAAATCGTGGCTTCATGCTATGCTCAGCATATGAAAAGCAGCTCTATAATGTATATCATACCCTGGGTGGATCTACACACAGGAAAAAACCACTATAAATAAATCAGAAATTAGATCGTTATAACAAGGGGGGGGACCCTATGGAAAATCATGTAGAAAAATATTCTGCTCTCTGGCACCATTGAGTGTTGCATGTTTACAATGCATTCAATTCATTGTTTTTTGACTAATGTAGCTGAGTTCTCTGACTATCGAGAATTCTTAAGTTTCACCTGGAGATGCAGAGAAAGCTGGTTGAGGTGTAGAATCACTCTCACCAGTGTTTGCTTCTCTTATTTAGCAGCTTGTTGTCCCTGCTCCACTTCTCTCCCAAGCCCTTGGAACATTGACCTGATTGCATAAACAAAAGGTAAGCATAGTTCAACCTGGTGCCTTTGACGTAGCTCCACTGCAATTTTCATCAGCCCCAGCTGGCATGACTAATGCTCAGAGCTGTGGTCCAATGCTAGAGAACCTCTAGTCAGTGGGACAAATTAGGCCCAGCGGCAATCCTATGGCACCATTTCCCCTAACCATGCCTGCCTGTTCCACACCTGACGTATTAATGTGCATGGGGGGTGGCAGGTACTGAATGGGGCCAATGGAAATGGTCATCCAAAGCATCTGAAGGTCACCAAGTTGTTGAAGACTGCAGTGAGAAGTAGTTTCATAAGAACATAACAATGTACAAAGAGCTTGCTGGATCTGGTCAGTGACCCATTTATTCCAGCATCCTGTTCTCACAGTGGCCCCCCACAATGCCTGTGGGGAACCTGCAAGCAGGATCCAAGCAGAAGACTCTTCTCCTTTCCCAAGTTTTCTAGTAACTGGCTGTGGCGTTTGCCCTCCTAGGTGTGTGATGTCATACTGGGTTCATAAGGAAGGTAAAGGTAAAGGTACCCCTGCCCGTACGGGCCAGTCGTGTCCGACTCTAGGGTTGCGCGCTCATCTCGCTCAAGAGGCCGGGAGCCAGCGCTGTCCGGAGACACTTCCGGGTCACGTGGCCAGCGTGACTAAGCAGCATCTGGCGAGCCAGCACCAGCGCTGCACACGGAAACGCTGTTTACCTTCCCGCTGTAAAGCGGTACCTATTTATCTACTTGCACTTAGGGGTGCTTTTGAACTGCTAGGTGGGCAGGAGCTGGGACCGAACGACGGGAGCTCACCCTGCCGCGGGGATTCGAACCGCCGACCTTGCGATCAGCAAGTCCTAGGCACTGAGGTTTTACCCACAGCGCCACCTGCGTCCCTTCATAAGGAAAGGGTTAACTAATTGTAAAATGACTAACCAGGGGAGGAGTTAGAGTTAGAGTTAGGGTGGTTGAGAAGACAGTCTGGAGTTAAAAGAGACAGGATAAGTCTGTGGGTTGGGCTAGTCTGATGTGAGAGTGAGAGAATTTGTTAAGAGCAGTCAGTCAAACAGTTGAGATAATCAGTCAGAAGGTATTAGGAAGGTATAGGCCGGTAAAGAAACTGAAGTTAAGATACTGACAGGAATATTATCTGAGAAACCATAAACTTGTTAATGCTTATAAAATAAACTTGTTTATTTGGTTCACTTTTAACAACTGTCTGGACTCAGTGTTTTACCCGAGAGTAACGGGTTGGTGGCAGCGGGGAAGCGAGCACAGTGGTGGCCCAGGGATCAATGGACCGTTAAACATCCAGGGACCCTGTGTGATTGCCACACTGACATTCAAAGGCCTCCAAATGTGGAGGGCAAACATAGTCATCTTGACTAGCATGGAGAGACTTCAGCTGCACTGAATCCCAGCAATGGTGTTTCTTGGAATCAGGGTCTGGATTTGAATCCAAAGAAGCTTATGGGGGGTTGGGTAGACTGCCCCCATCATGGTTTCCAGCTGCCCATTCTAGCCTTGAATGAGTGTGTGAGAGTCAGGAAAATATCATTTGCCTTTGAACAGCTGTATCAAAGTACAAATGTACAAAGTACAAATGTATCAAAGTACAAAATGTCAAATGAGAAGCAGCCCCCACAGGCAGCGTGGTTAAAGGTGGTCTTGTTCTGAATTAATACCAGCAAGGTGGCCACAAACATAATTTGAAAGGCACAGTTAAAAGGGGAGGAGAGATGCCACTCATTTTCATTGGTGGCGAGGCTGCCAAACTGACAATTAATTTTCTATTATCCTTAAACATTGTTAAAGGGCTGGATCCTACCCCCCACCCACCCACTGACATTGTCTCACTTTGTTTGCAATCACTTGTTTGGGTTGGCAGCCTTCTATGTTTCTTAATTGGGAAAAAAATGTCACCTGAATGTTAATTTAATAATTCAATATATCATTACAGTTTCCTTTGGCTAATTGGGCTCCCTTCATTCTTTGCAGGTATAATTAGAAAAAGGGATGACTAATTAGGAAAAGAACCTTCCTGAGAGTATAAAAGAAACTTATTTCATGTCGGTGCACCAAAACACCCTTAACCTAAGCAAGATCAGTTAACTCTTTGTGCTATAGACCAGTGCTCTTCAACCTTGGGTCCACATATGTTGTTGGACTACAGTTCTCATCATACTTGACCATTAGCTAAGCTGACTGGGGATGATGGGAGATGTTGTCCAACAATATATGGGACCCAAGGTTGAAGGCGGGTAGAGGTGGGTTTGGATGTCTTTGGATATAGGATGCAAGCTTTCCCTGACCACCTGACCTCTCCTTCTTCCCACCCAGGGTCCTACCCATGACCGCCGGTGAGTAGCCATCAGGTTGACCTGGGGTGGGAAGGTCTGATCCAAGGCTCCCAAACTGGGTATATCCAAGACTCCCACAGGGTAGTGGGGGGGGGCTGGGCTTGCGCTACTTTATATGCTGCATGAATATATTTCACACATACCCTGAGTATTGTGTCAATTTTAAGCTGCTGGGCCATCCCGTCAGTCTAGCCACATCCTCAGTCCTCATTCTAATTCATACAAAGATGCAATAGAATGGTGGGTCTTGCTTTTACGCATATGAATTCTGTGTGAAAGCGGACTGTGCAAACACCGCAGTGTAATGTTTCACTTACGGCATTGTCCTTGTCTCCAAAGAGATTTTTGCCCCTCCTTTTTTAAAAAGAAAAGAAAAGAAAGAAAGATAAAATGCAAACAACACTGAAGAACCAAATAAGGATCAGTACGAAGTGCTGCAATCTGTTTACACACCTATAGCTTTCTCTTACGAGCCCTCACGAGAAGTTTATTGGCCCTTGTTTCATGAGAGCTGTTCTTTCAAAATCTAACAAAGAACAAGTAGTGCCATCTCTCAAGATGCATCTGTTGTTATTGTTATTCCTAGTCAGTGCATGATTCTTCATTTAACCCCCACATGTGGACCTGAAGCTGCATTTGTAGTAGGCACTCCGAAACAAATTAGCGTCTTTGCAGCATGACAGCCATCGAGCCAAGGACGTTCGTGCTATCTCTTCTACGTTTCTTTGTCAGACTGAGATGTACCATCTATGGATAGCCAGAGCATCCCTCTGGAGTCAGTCGCAGAATTGAACTCAGTGGATACAGAAACCTCTTTCAAAACTGGACATGGGCCTTCCAACCTCCAAACCTTCTTATCTTTCTCATGGCACCTAAAATCTGAGAACTGGGGAAATGAACTCTCTTGCATTCTTTTTATTTTGGAGGTTTTTATTTTATTTTTATTACAAACTGAAGAAATTGCTTTGCTTCATTAGTCTGAATGGGGGAGCAGAAAAAACTGATCCGGGGTAGGTTCTGACTTCTCCCCGGCTACACACACCCTCCCTGAAGACAAACAGAGGTTGGGATATATCCACTCTTCAGATTTTGCATATGCAGATTTGCTTTCCCCTCCTGATTCCAAGGCTGTCTGGAAACCCATCTTCCAAGGATGGACCACCCTAACAAGTCCCCTGCCTCTGCAGAGGTGAAAAGTTGCTGAAAGCCAAAATCTCAACAGGAAGTGAACTGACCATGACAAGGGACTAATAGTCCATTGTGTGTGTTTTGTTGAAGCCTGTGCCCTGTGCCCAAGACAGTTTCTCCATTCAGCAAATGTGCCCACGGCCCCCAGAAGGTTGGCACCTGCTGGCTTAGGGGCTAACTTTTCCCTGCCTTGCCCTCATCCCATGACATGGAGGCTTCTGCCTGACCAAACTTGATAGAGCTATCGACATAACTTGAAAGATGAAGAAGGTTCACTGGCTGATACGAATCAGCTTGTCCGGCCGAGAGGCAAAGATGACAGCTGAAAGATTCAGAAGGCACATTTTCAGTGAAAGGAAACTGCTGACATCCCAACAAGTTAAGAGATGAAAGGATTGGTATCACTGAGCTGATGTACTTTTCTCTCTCTCTCCCGTCCCCACTGTCACCACCTTAATGCAATGGCAATATTTCTATTGATCCTGTGGTCAGGAGAATGATAACAAAGCTGTGTTTATGTCTGTGTGTTCTTTGAGAGCAAATTGAATTAGATTAAATTGACTCCTCTTAATCTTCCCCAGAGTATTTGCCACCCATCTTCTTCAGTGTAACTAGGCCTTATGTGCTATCTGTTGCATGTACAAGGGAGAGCAGGGCAACACCACAGTCTCTGGACCTAATTATGTGCCACCACTAGCTTTGACAGCTTAACATCCTCATGTTTACCACAGAAACTTGCAAAGGTGTACCTATTCATGAGCAGATGATTGTGCCTCAGTGCTCAATGTGGTTGAGACCCTGTGGGGTGAGGTATCCCAATTGTTTAGAGCCTCTGTAGTGACAGGTCTGGAGGAAAATTAGTGTGTTTGAGAAACAGGAGAGAAGCATCAGCATGCTTGAGAGGGCGTCTCAGTCTAATGATAACCAAGCATGATTAGTGTTCTCCATGAGTCATGACCTCTTAAGCATTGGCTGGAACAGAAGAACAGAACATCGTGGTGGTGATGTCAGTGAATGGAATGACCTGGTTGATCCCCTTGGAACTTAAGAAGGAAAGCTGGTCTGGTCTAGCTAGAACCCTCAAAAGGAGCATGTGCTAAGTTATAAACCCAGAAACATGCAGCAGCTTAGCAGAAACCCTTCAGAGCCACAAGTCCTCCCAGTTTTGTAGAGGTGATGTGGTGAGTCTCTTTATTACTTTGCAAAGGAAGGTCTTTTTATATATAATATTTTTATTAGTTTTCAATTACAGTCCAATAATAGCCTCATTATAAAGGAAGGTCTGGCACTCTTCACATCACAAGGTTCTTGTGAGGCTTAATTGTATATTATTACTCACCACCCAAAGTTTTTATAGGCACCTGCTTCCTTCCAGGTACCCAAGACTGCGTAGTTTCTTGACTGACAGCCCCCCATTTTAGCAACCCCACCTTAAGTCCACATCTTCTCTTGGATTTCTTCATTGCCTCTGAGGTTGTCCTAAGGTTCACTCTCAACCTCCATCATTTGCTGCTGCTGCTGCTGCTGCTGCTGCTGCTGCTGCTGCTGCTGTATTTGCTGCTATCACCCTTCACCTTAAATGCAGGCAGGGTTTCCCCAGCCACTCTGGGCGGCTCATAGCTGGGATTATATTCTTTAGGATCATTTTTGTACCAAAGGGTGTTGCTTAGAGGACCCCTTCCCTGTTTGAAGGACTTTGCATCTCAAGGGTAGATCAATATCTTCTTGGAGTCTGTAACCTGAAGTGTATGTAACCCGAGGTACTACTGTAGTACTGCAGATTTTCTAGTTTCCCTCTTTCCTCTCAGCTCCTGTCGCCTTTTGTGCTGCGTCTCTCAGATTCTAAGCCTTTCCTTTCTCTACAAAGAAGTATAAACTTCCTAGAAAGCCTTGGCAGAAAAGTGGCCGATATACGGAGCAAGAAAACAAACCAAGTGCTGGGAATAGTTCCTAAGCAGGTGCATATTCCGAAAAGCACAAGCTACGGCTGTGCAGAATCGGTGTTTGAAAATGATGCCGACTTCAGCTGGAAATATTAAAACACTCTTTCATGGATGCCTGCAACCCTACATCAGGCTTTCAATCTTCCCCAGAGGGTCTTGGGGCGGGGGGAACCTCCAGTAACAAGCCTCGTAATTCCGCTCTGCTTATCTTCAGCCGTCTCGCCTTTATTTATTGAGGGACCTTCAGCACCTTTGTCTTTCTTCTTTTGCTTTTTTGCTTAGCCTTTCCTTCTTCATCCTCCCACTGCCTCCCATAAGAAAAAAATTGCATCAGTATTTCATCTCTTCATCCACACTTAAGTGCCTTTGATCTGATGCTGTGCAAGGGTTATTTATTTGCCACTACCTCCAGGGGTTGGGTGGGAAGTCACCCAGGAATAGAACAATAGAGATTTCACCCTTTCATGAGTGTTTTGCTGCGCACAACCATTTATTTTCCCCTGATTGTCTTTGCATTTCATTTTGAAACGGTCTCGACTGAACTTTACCATTTCTGCATATTTGGCATTCTTCTTTTCCCGCAAAGATGAAACGGCTTCCCCTAAATCTGTATTGTTTTATTATTCATCTCCCTTTGTGCTGGAGTAGCAGAAACATGATTACCTTTTGTCAGGCGGGCTTCAAGATCTCTTTAATTTTTATTTCCTTCAATGAGAGACCTCTGTTTGTAACGTTAATGTTTTCCCAATTACTTTTGATCATCGCTGAGAAGCAGCCTGGTTTTCCCTTTATTCTAGTGCAGAGTCTCCAGCGCTGGAGACTACATACATATTTTTGTGTTTATTTGTTAAATGTATATCCTGCCTGTCCTCCGCAGAAGGGGTGGAGAACCTCAGGTGTGAAGGTCAAATGTGGCCCTCCAGGTCTCTTCCCCACCCCATTCTCATGCCTTCTCCAAAGGCCATACCCTCACCTGCCTGCTTCACACCCTCCTTGAATGTTTCTGCATGACTGGAATGACTGTCCGTCAACTCTGGTCAAGACTTTTGTTTGCCTCGATTAAGGGGCAGCTGTGAGTGTGCATTGCTGCTTTTGTTGTTGGCACCTGTCTGTCTTGAGAGACAATGGAGTTGTCACCTCTGGGGGTGAAGTCAAACTTTTGTGTTAGCAGCACTGAAGAGACTTCCCCTGGGCAGTGTGTATGGAGGTCCTGGGCTGCCCAGACAACAAGATTCCTATTTTGTGGTCCAAAGTAAAGTAGAGTAATATGTTTGGCACCAGCTTGGCTGCAGGAGTTGCCAGAAGGAAATGTACAAGGTGTCATCCAACCACCTTAGGGACTCCAGATTTTTTTACTTGTTGCAGGAACCACCCCCCAATCATTCAGTTTGTACAAACACAACACACACACACACACACACACACACACACACACACACACCACATACACAACGTTCCTGTTATAAATTCATAGTAAATCAACCATACATCGGATTTACACCGGTCCACTTTTATTTTACTCCATGAAGGAAGGACTATCAAAGGGGGGTGGTTTGATACAGGACGGCCATAATCCCTTAACCATACCAGCACATACACAGGAGCCCTGCCCAGTTGGCATGACAACCTTGATGGTCCCAGACAGAAGATGATCCAGGTCACAAAGGACTTGCATATGGGAGTGGATTCAACATGGACTGGAACAAAGGACAATGATCAGATCTTCCCTCTGGGGGCAGGAAACTGCCAACTCCCTTTTGTCCTCTGGAAATGACTCATGGGGAGGGGGAGAGGAGGAACCAGCCAGGTGACAAGATAGTCAGGTTACCTCCACAACTCCTCCCTCAACCCCTCCCTTTTTGTGATGTAGTTGTGATGTAGTCTTAGGGGTGTAGTTTGGGGGATTAGTAACTAATAAAAGTTGGGGTCTTCTTTTGTTCTGGACTTCCATTTTGCTTCATCTTGGTGCGGGTGGGAGTCCTGTCGCGACAGTATCCAATAAAGGCCAAGCCTACAGGCTGCTGTTTTGCTCCAAGTTATCCTGGTTGGTGTCTTTGTTTTTGTCCAAGGGAGCCCTCGGATTTTTCCGTTAACATACTCCTTAGCCTTTTCTTCTCCTGAAGATACCCCTCAAGGTGGCAGACGTTTAGGATCACAGTAGATGACATTAATGGGGCCTCTCCTTGGTCTTCCTACCATTAAACCCCAAGAAGAAGGAGAAGTAAACTATCCGTTGGAACTTACTGAAGAAGATGCTCCTTCAGATACTTGGGCTTTGTATATTACTGCCAATACCTTGAACTGGAACATCACCTGCAGCCACTACAGTATTTTTACTTTTACTGTAAGTAATTTTTACCCACCCTTCACTCTATGGTCCCAGTACTCTCAGTATGTGCTCTTCTCTGACTGCTTTATGGTCCAGTTCAATGATCTGGCCTAGTTTCAGCATCATCGTCCCCTGAACTAAGGAGACCCATTTGACATCAACACAATACCAAGCCTTTGGTGTCATTGTCTCACTCATGTGAAACACTCTATCGCAGAGATCAGCAGGCACCGTTTGTCTCTCTCCTGACTCAAATTCCCCTCCCTTCCTTCCCAAATTCACAAAATCTCCTCCCCATTTTCACTGCTTGCAAATCCGGCAGCAAAATACAATGTGCAAAGAAAGATTTTATTTATTTTTTTGCAACAGCCTTGGCTTTTTTTTTTTTTAACAATAAAAATTGCTGTTTTCATTAAGTGTTATATTTGAACATTTTAATTATTACTTTGAATTCTCTATCTCAGGTACATTTTGCCAAGCAAAGAGAAATGAATTCTTTAATAGGAGCCCATGAACGTCCTAAATAAATGCGTTATCGACCACCACACAGTACAAAGATCTATGATAACATTTAAGTCCTGAAGAATTATGGGATGAATAATATGTATATCCCTCCCTCGGCTTCAGTTATCAAGTGATTAGCTGAGAAAATTTTCTGTGAGAGATTTGCCATGTGAACAAGAGCCCCCAAATTACTTAAACTAATAAGTATATTATTGCGAGACTCTCTATATTATTTAAACATTTCTGGTTACTGCTAGCATGATTTATACATTCAATACGGAAAGTCTCGGATGCTTTGCCTGCTATATTATTAGTCTCTCTTGATAAAACCTCTTTGCTTTCCTTCCATCTCGAGGGAACCTAATTTAAATATGAATACACACACGCACATAGAGAAAAAAATAACAGTTGTTGAAACTGAAATTAATAATGCCCTTTTTTAAGAAAGAGAAAGATAAAACAAAATTGAACAGTTCTCCCCCCCTCCTTTCTTTCTTTCTTTGAAATAGCCTGGATAAAAATATGAACAAAATGTTAGTAGTTCCTATTTTAGAAACAAGAAAAGGGTAAAATGTGCCTGTTTGGCATTGTGTTTGCCTTATGGGTAATAGATTTAGGATGCAATAAGATTTTGGGTGCAATGCAAGCAACTGCAGGTTAGCAAACTCAAGTCTCATTGGTTTCCGTAGGAGTGGAATGTAGTTACTTCTCTCCCATGAAAATTAATCAGATCTGGGGTGTGAGTTAAAGGTCACAATCCTAAAGTTGGCAAAAAGCCCTCTGAGAAACCATTGGGTCTGTGGGAAGAATTGAGATCCGTTTGTGCCCTACCATACTCCTTATTATAGATGTTGGTCATTTACTAACATCTGGCTTAGGGCCCTCCTATTTACAGGACCGCCTCTCCTGGTATGCCCCGCAGAGGACCTTAAGGTCCATGAATAATCATAGTTTAGAGGTCCCAGGCCCTAAGGAAGTCAGATTATCCTCCACCAGGGCCAGGGCCTTCTCAGTGATGGCTCCGACCTGGTGGAATGCTATGTCCCATGAGACCAGGGCCCTGCAGGATTTAACTTCCTTCCGCAGGGCCTGTAAGACAGAGCTATTCTGCCTGGCTTTCAATTTGAACTTAGCCTGATCTTTTATTCCCCTTCCTTCCCTCCCCCTCCCCTTTTTATGAAGATTACCTGCTCTGGGATCACACAGCTAATTCTCTCCTGGTCTCCTTGTTGGCCCAAATAGGACTAGTTTAGCCAGCTAGCCCTGGTGATCATCTAATGTTTATTGGCTAGATTTCCCCCCTAAATTGATTTTTGAATTCTGAATTTATTGTTACTGTATATATGTTTTATGCTGTATTTTATGCTGTTTTTTGTTGAATCAATTAAGTGTTTTAAATTTGTTGTTAGCCACCCTGAGCCCGTTTTTCTGAATCAGGAAGGGCGGGGTATAAATAAAAATTTATTATTATTTATTATTATTACCAATTATTTAATCAATTTATTGGTTGATTGATATACCACTGATGTTTCTAAGCAGAGGTTGGATGGCCATCTGTAATGGATGCTTTAGTTGAGTTTCCTGCATTGCAGGGGGTCAGACTAGATGGCCCTTGAGTCCCTTCCAACTCTATGATTCTATGAGATGCTGAAATGGCTTCTAAGCAGTTTAGAGCTAGCTGTAAATTTGATCCATGATTATAATATGCAATGGCGTTAAAGAACCCATAATGGAAATAAATAATAAAGCAAACAATTGAAAAGTGATTTGAATTGCCACATCCATAGTCAACATCAGTTGACATCTGCACAACATGCCCCTTCTTGGTGATGTTGCCTTCATCGTCCATTGGTAGCTTCCAGCTCAGGTATGATAAACTGATAACCTTCCCCATTCAAGCTGTTCCCCTCTCTAGTTCTGCCTATATATCCTTATATTCAAGAGGTACAGAATTTATTAGGTGGAGGCGTGATAAATGAAAATTAGCAATCAGTATTAATGAGCCTACTGTATATGCAAATTCAAAAAAACGACAGCATATCCTGTGGTATAATTATCTAACACCCTTTGCACCATCCTAGATAAGGAAATATCAGTAATGCATGTCTAGCTTATGTCTCTAGAGAGAAAAGTAAAATGTATTTATCCTCAGACTGACTGAATAGGCATGTATTGAAAACTAACAAAGGGATTCTGTTGATAATTTTTTTTCATTCAGTGGGTTTTTTGTTTGTTTGAAGAGAAATAAACAAAAAAATTGAATTACGTTGGCTATCGTGGTACAATAGCTGTTATGGTTTCTCACAAATACAAAGGATTAAATGACTATCACCATTAAATATATAAAATGAACTGAAATGCATGTGCCAGAATTGTTTCACAACTTTTTTTCACTTACAAAATATTTTCATTGGGTTATAATTGAACAGTTAAATTGCTGTGATATAATTTATAGCAGTTAGCTGATGTGGTTAGACTTCCTGCTTGCTGTTGTTTTTAAAATTCACTATGGGTTCTGTTTAAGATAGATGTTAGATAGATAGATGATAGATAGATAGATAGATGGTAGATAGATAATAGATGACAGAGAGATGAGAGAGAGAGAGAGAGAGAGAGAGAGAGAGAGAGAGAGAGAGAGGTCACCACAATCTTCACCTAGCAGTTCCAGGGGTTCCAAATACAGTGGTATCTCGGGTTACATACGCTTCAGGTTACAGCCTCCGCTAACCCAGAAATAGTGCTTCAGGTTAAGAACTTTGCTTCAGGGTGAGAAGAGAAATCGTGCGCTCCGGCGGCGCAGCAGCAGCAGGAGGCCCCATTAGCTAAAGTGGTGCTTCAGGTTAAGAACAGTTTCAGGTTAAGTACAGACCTCCGGAATGAATTAAGTACTTAACCCGAGGTACCACTGTACTTACCTAGGGTTCATGTTTTCTTCAGAAATTAGGCACAGCAGAGACTGTGGTGTCTTTATGATATATGGTTTTATTTGCAAATATCTACAACCTGTAACTCCTCTGCTACAATTGTTGCTACTAGCCATCTCTGACTTCTCATGTTTCCTCTCCTGCTGTGAGAGCTGCAGCTCAGATTTCTGGCAATGAGCCATCAGGTAGTTAAGGTGCATAGGATCATAGAGTTGGAAGGGATCCCAAAGGCCATCCAATCCAACCCCTGGCAATGCAGGAATCTCAACAAGCGGTCCCCCATCCAATTCAAAACCATACCCGACCCTGCTTAGCTTTGCAAATGTGCCGGCAGTTTTATTGCTGAACCACTTGGCAGGGCTTAACTCACTCTTCCGCTCTCACCCAGAGTGGAAGAACTGAATTTAAGATAGGGAAAGGGAATTTAAGATTGGGAAAAGGAGAAACTGGGAGAAATTGAAGCTCACAGATTCACCCCTTCTTTTATTCAATATAAGGCAGCCTTGTGCACTTTGGCAAATCTGTAGGCATATATTTCCATTACTGTGCCACAACCCCCCCCCAAAAAAAAAACTTCTATCCAGCAGGATCTAACCAATTCAGCCAACCTAACTATCATGGGTCTCTCTGTGCAGATTCTTCTGATGATTCCTCACTCCCACCCCTGAATAAAACTCGGTAGGACCTTTCGTGCATTGACAGTTTCCCTCGTCTTTCAGTTACTCAGACTGTTGCCTTTGATATGTCGGAAGCCATTTCATGTGAGAGTTCTCTCCTTCCTAGGCTTGAATTTGATTCTCTGAAGGATTACTGTAGCTGTCTTTGAAGTGAGGTCATCATCACAACGGAATCCTCACCATCGATGGTGACAACCACCAGGTTGGCTTGTGTGCTAAGCTTTCACTTCTTCTTTCTTTCTTTCTTTCTTTCCAGACCCAGACGTTTTTAGTCCCAGCCTTCAAAGAAAAGTAGGAAGAGAGGCAAAAAAGCCTCTTGCACTGTCGTTTCCTTGCACCTGTAGTTAAACTTTTCCAGCTGACATGTCACCCTGCAAGATGTCTTTTCAGATTTGATTGAAAAGAGGAGTCAGACATCCTACTGTCGCTTAAACCTGAGCCAGTCTTCAGGGGCTTAAGGAACATATGAAAGAGGCAGGGAGCCTTCCTGTCTGAGCTGTGCTCCCAAATCATTCCCGCTAACTCTTTTGTGAGGCTGAGATCCTTTTTCCTGCTCTGAAGCCCTTGTGCTGTTAAAATGTTGTTCCAGATAGGCTCCATTAGGGGCCGACAGGGGCATACATCAATCAGATGCTTGCAAACAAATCCGTCAGGTGTCAGCCATATCCAAAGTTGCAGAGAACGAGGCCCTTATAGATCCTTTTCGTTAAATTGTGTGGCATATTTTGCATTTATATCCCAGCTTTTTCTCCAAAGAGCTCCAAGGCATACACGGTTCTTCACCTCCTTATTTCATCCTCACAACAGCCCTGTGAGGTAGGTTAGGCTAAGAGATGTTGACGGGCCCAAGGTCACCCAGTGAGCTTCATGGCTGAGTGGGGATTTGAACCCTGGTCTCCCAGGTCCTAGTCCAACATGCTATACCACTATACCACACTTGAGGCAGTGTCTTTTGTCTGCCCCACACTTGCCTCTAGGGCTTTGCAAAATATTCTCCCAGAATTGGTTACAAGGTGATTATAAATATTTTCCAGAAACCCCTTTTTTTGCTCCAGTGCAGTGTTTCCTTGATTCCTGTTTCTCCAGATCTAGCGAGACTTGTGTGTGTTTCCTTCTGATAGACACATTTTGCATTCTGTTTTGCCTAACGTATGCATTTTGGCAAGCCATCTTCCAAGTCAATGCCTTGTTGTTTTCAGTAAGATACACACCTGATAAACCCTCCCCCCCAATATATACATTTTTGTATCCATCTTTGGCATTACAAAATTCAGAGTGCAGCAAATGTCAAAGAGTTGCATGCATGTGTTTCACACATTCTTTCAACAAGTGTGTACAGTGGTACCTCAGTTTTTGAACGTCTCCATTGATGAATGTTTCGGTTTTTGAACACCATAAACCTGGAAGTAAATGCTTCAGTTTTCGAACACATCTCAGAAGTCAAACTTGAAACATGACTTCCATTTTGAGTTTTCCGCTTTGAGCAGGCATAGGCAAACTCTGACCCTCCAGATGTTTGGGACTACAATTCCCATCATCCCTGACCACTGGTCCTGTTAGCTAGGGATGATGGGAATTGTAGTCCCAAACATCTGGAGGGCCGGAGTTTGCCTATGCCTGGTTTTGAGGCTTCCGTTCTGAGCTTTCAGTTTTCGAAAGTTTTGGAATTCAAACGGTCTTCCGAAATGGACTACGTTTGAAAACCGAGGTACCACTGTATTTGGCAAGACTGCACCAGTATGTAAAGTGAAATTAATTTACCCTCCATCACATGACCTTTCTTTGCAGCCTTTGAAATGGAAGAACAGAGAAGGTGACAGACAACTACAAGAAGCATCCCTCGCTTTGGCTGAGGAACTAACTTTCCTTGGATGCGAGAAAATGACTGACAGTGGTTCAGTGCATAACAACTTTTGTAGGACCAGCATCAAACCCAAATGTCCTTTCGATACGTTAGATGAGCCAGGGAATTTGCTATCTCCACTTGCTGTAGATTTTGAGATTATCCTAAAAGCGAGGCAAGTGGGTAACCAGGCCACTCAAGCAAATCTGAAAATTGGTGACATTTACAGCCTAGAGTTCATCAGACTGCTCTCCATGACCCACAAGAGCTAAATTTTGTTCATTAAACCAGAAGACTCTGCATGTAGTGCTACAAATTCTGAGATGACCGGCTGTAGGAATCCCTGTGCTTATATAATTGCAGACACTCTGCAAGGAACAATCTATTGCAATTTCACAGGAACAGAGGCTGGGATTGTGACAGTTCCTTCTGATCCATTGCTGTCCACCCTTGCCTCCCCTGGTTCATGACAAAGCTGGCAAACTTTTCCACTTGAAGGGAACCCTGCAGTTTTTTTTTAAAAATGGGAAGAAATGTAAATCTACGTCTGTCCCATTTCATCTTCATCATTACGGATTAGGATAACCAGCCAGCCCCAGGTATTCCTGTGTTCAGACATCCCATGACAAATGTAAATTGTAATGCAACATTTAGATGGAAATTCCTGGGAACCAGAGATGCTTATGATGAACACAACTGGGCCAAAGATTTTTTTTGTGTGTGTGCTGTTTCACTTTCAGTAACTACCTCTGTATTCAATGTGCTTTCAAAATTTTGTCTAGTTTTTGACAAGTTCTGACAAAGGCTCTTTTTTAAGATAGTGGGGTACTGAGCTAGCCTACAAAGCACACACCAGGGTTGTTCCTGAGCAAGGAATCCAGTCCCTGCATCTGCTTGATCAGCCTCTCAAGAAGTCTATCCTGAGAGTCAGTAATCTGACAGATCCATCAAACAGCTTTTATTTCATCTCCAACAGAACCTAGACGCAGCTGGTCAGGAGCACAATCCTAATACTTGTCAATTTAGAAGCAAGTTCCATTGACTTCAGTGGAATTTATTCCTAAATTATGGAACAATCCAGACCACCAACCCCTTCATCCAGTTTAGGGTGGTGGTGGATTGGGCAAAAGTGACTCATCACCCACCTTTCCCATAAAACAAGCCAGCCATCACCACCAGCAACCACGCCATCCAAGTCACACACCCCTTTCCACTCACTGAACACAGAGGTGGGCAGGATGCCTGCTACTGGAAGCCCACAAAAGCCCCTCAAATGGGACATTCTAGAGGTAGAGAAGAGCTGAGATGGTTCAGAATCTGTTGATTCCTGAGCCAGTCTCACTGCCATTGTTCAATGGCATCAGACCCCATCCAGGTCTGATTGCTGGTTTGATCGCTTCTGGAATTCTGGCAGACATCTGGCTAGCTACACCTAGCTAGATGGGACCTCGCTCTGACGCTGCGGAGCTATTCTTACATTCTTCTTGTGTTTTGATCCAAGGAAGGATGAAAGACCACATTAGACATATTTGTCTTTACAGGGGGACAATTTTAAAAATTGTTATCAAGATTGAAGCAGTCTGGCAGGAGAAGTTTATCCCTTCCTTCCCCAGTCAAAAAACTGAGGAACCTGAAACTCCCAAATTTCATGAGGTTTGGTTTTTCCAATAAATAAATAAATAAATAAATCAATCAATCAATCAATCAATCAATCAATCAATCAATCTCAGGGGGCTGTGGTTGGGGAGAGGTAAAGCTTCTTGCTCCATGTGCCACAATTCTGATGACAATTAGTCAGGAAAGGGGGGTCTCTGGCTGCAAGCAATTAAAGAAAAGCATGAGAACTGTGCATTTCATGTTAATCGTGACATACAGTTTTGCCCCTCCCCCCATAGCTTCTGGGAGCAGTGCAGGAATCCATGCATGACCTCATGCTGATCGGCACATCTGTGGCAGGAGGAAGCCGCAAGCGTACAGTAAATTGAGGACAAGACTGCAAGAGCAACTTCTGGGATTCTAAGGTAATGTTTGCTTTTCTCCGCCGGCTGAATTTACGCCAATAAGATTTCCTCTTCCTGCATCTGGAGAACCAAGAAGTGTCTTCAGTGCCGCAAAGCTTCACCTGGTGACATTACGGTTTAATAAATATATAGCTTTCCATTTCCTCTGCCACTGACATAATGTTCTTTGTAGATTTCCTTTGTCTAACTTTTAGTATGCCTGTCAGCACTGAACTGCCCTGTAGCTGCTCCCATAACAAGGGAATTTGTGCCTCCTAATTCCAGTCACATGGCCTCTTGGGCATCGATTCATCACTTAAATTTGTCATAAGTGCATTAAACTGAACATTGAAATTGTTCTTGTCAAATCATCTCCAAGACTTATAGAGCTAGGCTCCACCACATCCCCGGCATGCAGCTTAGATATCTTTGCTCTGTCAAAATATAGCAGGCATTTTCATCCTTTTAAAAAGTCCTTAAGCCATTAAATTGCATTATCATTTCTACATTTTGATGTAAGAGCTTATTTGCATTGCATGTAGTTATGGATCTGTCAGGGTGTGTGTGTGTGTGTGTGTTTTCTTTTCACTTATTAAATTCCCTCCCTTTCACCATTGCCAAGGATTCAGGCAGTAACTCAGCCTTAGACATTTGCTTGAGGCTAAAACTTAAAAATGTAAACTCTCAGATGGAGATACAAAATGAAGCAAAAGTTGGGAGAAAATGCTCGAGCAAATTGGGTTTTGTAGCCTTCAGACAGGATGCTTCCAAAATTTTCGTCATCAAAATTGCTCCATGAAGTTTGGGAGTTCTTAATGACCTATTCACAAGTTTTGACTCATGCATTGTCAGGATCTCACCCAACCCAGGCCTTGGAGAGACCTCCTCTGAAGAAGCATCAGACCTCACTCCAACTGAGGACCCGGAAGAACATCTCAGGAGTACCCAAGGCAGCCTAAAGTGGTTTGGATCCTGCGTGTCTCACCTGATCCCCTGCAATGATCCGTCTAACCACAGGCATACCTTGATCTCCAGTTCTGCCCGATCATCATCTGCTCCTCAAGAGCAAAGGCAACAGTCAGCCGCAATGGAAAACCCACAATCACAGGAGTGTCCCCTTGGCTGCCAGAAGACTCTACTGCCGGAGGTCTCTTTGGGTTGAAGGGTCTACTCAGGAGGAAGGGTACAAGGGTCTACTCAGGAGGACTCTCTCCACAGAAGGGGAGAATGCTGTTGTACTTAGTTCAGGCTCATGGGCTTCAGGTCACAGCTAGAAAAGGATGCTGGACTAGATGGGCCATTGGCCTGATTCTGAAGGGCTATCCTCACATTCTTAATGATCCAACAGATGACCAGGGAAAAGAGGAGTTAACAATGAGAATATAAGCCTCTCAGTCTCCTCTAGACCCCGGTGGGGTTGAAAGCTCACTTCCTCAGCTCCAGACCTCTTGCTCTGTCTCCAGAACCCACTCCCACAGTAGATGCCACACATGAGCATGCATTTTCCCAAAGTGTGAGTTGGGCAGCACCACATAGCCTTATCCCGGACATCACATACTTAGGCTCTGGCAGCTGAGCAGCTGTGTGAAGTCTCTGTCTCTCTGAACATTCATGCTCTAGGTCCAGGCACCAAGGGATGAGACTAGTTCACACATGCAGTCTTCTTCTTCTTCTTCTTCTTCTTCTTCGGTGATCACTCATAGCCAAGTAAGATTGTCTTCCATAAGCATGGTTTTAACAATGAGTCTGTAAGTGACTGTGGAGGCCAATTCTGGATCCACACGTCCTTCCACAGTGGGGACATTGGTTTCCGGGCGGGAGGTGATCACGGTGTGGATTTGCCAAGCATGCCTTCCTCTTAGCACATTTCTCCCTTGCGTCCTGAGTAAAGGCTGTTCTCCAATTGGGGCGTTTGCAGGCCAGTGTTTCCCAATTGTTGGTGTTTATATTACGTTCTTTTAGATTTTCCCTGAGAGAGTCTTTAAACCTCTTTTGTCGACCACCAGCATTACACTTTCCATTTTAAATTTTGGAATAGAGTAGTTGCTTTGGAAGACGATAATCAGGCATCCGCACAACATGTCCAGTCCAACAAAGTTGATGTTGAAGAATCATTGCTTCAACACTGGTAATCTTTGCTTCTTCCAGTACATTGGTATTAGTTCGCCTGTCTTCCCAAGTGATGTGTAAAATTTTCCGGAGACACCGTTGATGGAATCTTTCAAGGATGGAGATGGCATTTTTAAGTAGTCCATGTTTCACAAGCATACAGTAAAGCTGGTAGTACAATAGCTTTGTAAACAAGCATTTTGGTTTCCCTGCAAATGTCCCAGTCCTCAAACACTCTGCACTTCAATCAGGAGAAAGCTGCACTGGATTTCGGCATATGTGTTGGCCCTTGTGGAGAGATAACTGCCCAGGTAGGAAAAGTGATCAACATTTTCCAACTTTACACCATTGAGTTGGATTTGTGGCGCTGCAGGGGGGTTATTTTGTACTTGTTGGTGCAGCTCTTTGGTTTTTAAGATGTTGAGCGATAGGCATCAGGGACATAGCTAATCAATGCAGTCCTACTCAGCTGGTAACAGGAGGCATGCGTTAGAATTCTGAACAGGGCAATAATCCAATTTCCAAGGTGGAGCTGATACATCAAGAAGCCCCAGTTGTTCTGATTTACTGTATATGTATATGCATATGACCTGCAGGTATAGGATGGTATATAAATTAAATTAAATTAAATTAAAATAAATAAATAAATAAATAAATAAATAGGTATATGTGTATGTACATCTAAACAAACTGAATATTTTAGAACTTAGGTCATATGAATGAATGAATCGAATTATTTCGGTCACCGACCAGAGTGCAACATATGCAACAACAGAGAGCACGCAAGCATAAATATGTTAAAATTAAGCTCCGTGAGCTAATACACGATAAATAATTCAGATAAAAACAGCTAAAATATGTAAGTTAAAACCTTAATTGCTACTTTAAAACATATTAAGAGATCGGCGGTAAGATTCGTTCAAGGCTGGTCTCCTTAATGTTACAGCAGCAGCACAGAATTGAGCCACTTTTAAGGTAATCTCTGGTCATAGGCAGTTTGCACATATTTCATTTCC